CCAAGTAATTCCAGCCACAAGCAGGCTGAGGTTAATCCACAAGGTAATGGCTAACAATCCATAAAACAATGGAAAGTTGCTCCAACAAAGAAGTCCACCAAACAAGCTTAGTCTGCCACAGTGGTGGGTTTCACATTTTTTTACCACAGTTCTGTGGGTGTGGCTTGGTGGGCGCGCTTCATGTGTGCACGCAGCAACTGCACGCTTCATGCACATGCAGAGGGTTTGCTACTGACCTTCTCCTGCAATCCTGCACTCTCCCTGTGTCCTCAACAGCTGATAGGCAGCAATCCGCTGTGCCGCGCAAAGCAGCTGAGCTTCAAAACCAGGAAATAAAGATCACTAGGGAGCCAGGGCAGGTGGGAGGGCCCAGCAGCTGATTGTCAGAGTGAACTGGTTCACTCACAGATGATCCTCAGAGCTACCGGTTCGACCGAATTGGGCCGAACTGGTGGAATACCACCACTGGTCTGCCAGGCCAAGCTAAAGTACACCCACAAGAGCTCACTTGGCAAGAGAAGTTCAGAGTTTCCAAAGCCCACCTGGAAACACCAGGAAAAAATACACAGAGCCAGAAACCAAACACGTTGTTCCTAGCAACGCCTCCCTCTGTCTGCTGTGATAAATAGCTTTCCGGTGTAGGCAAGACAGGTAGGGCCTTCTCCCGAGTAATCTGGCAGATCTCTATTGCTCTTGTCTCTTCTCTGCCCTGTGTGCTCAATCTACTGCAGAAGGCAGCTCCTCCTCCTCCTCTTCACCAACCGTCTGCTCCTGCAAGCTGTCCCCCAGTCGAAGCCCCGTGTAAATCTCCTTTAGCCAACTGTTCAGAGTCATTAATTAGCCCAGTTCCTGATGTGCCTGGAATGAGCTCATTCTTCCTTGAGCCAGAGGAAGAATCTGAGGAGTCATCCAAAGGAAACACCACATAAATCACCTTGGGATTTGTGTGATGTATAACTCTGCAACCATTATAAATACATGCTGGTTGCCAAGTACCCAAAATCTGATGATGTGACTGCAGGGATGTTGTGACCGTGGTAAGTGTGAAGACCAGTTGTAAATCACTTTTTTTCAGTGCCATCATAACTTTGAATGAATGGTTGTAGACTAGGGCTATCTGTAATTGATTATAGCATTTGTGATAAAATACATGATAATTCAAGAGTCATGTTTTCAAGCTTTATTCTTCCTTTACTCAGTCTTTACTCATGATCTCAAGGCAGTAGGTACAATGCTTTACTCCATCCTGGTGAACTTGTTTAGCAAGATAACACGCTTTTGTGATCTCTGCTGTTTTTCCTTCAAACTTCTCTCCTTCTGTAACATCCGTATTATAGCATATGGTACCATAAATCTACTCTTCTCTCTTGAACTCCTTGTTGCTGGAGTAAAAAAGACCCCCATGAAAGCAAATGATGCCAGGGTGTTGCTGAAAGATTATTTCTTTTCCAGATAATTGATGATGGGTTGTTCATTTTTCAGAAGCAACTGCCACTGCAGTGCTGTCCTCCAAACCATAAAGCTAAACAAAAATTAAAAACAGACTAAGGGAATTGAGTAATGTTGATTTCACATGCTTGCAAATTGCCTTTCCATAATTAAATATAAATCTTCTCAGTGTGGGTTCAGAAGGAGGGTAATTGGATGGTGTACTGAGCATGAAACCTTTTCAAAAACCATTGATTTCCCCCCTCCATTTTTTTTCTATTCCAATTTCCTGTGTGCTATAAGAAAAAACATGACATTAATACTGATATGACAGACACACATCATGAGCGTGCCTCTTTTGATGGTTTAAGGGACCTGATATACAGTATGTAATGTCAGAAGAGGGATGTCCTATCTTTCTAAATGATAATCTGTGTAACATTCATTGCATCATTCCTCTTCTTCTGTACATCTCTGTCAATATAATTTATTACAACTGAATTTGAATTATTTCTTTTAATTCAGTCTTCCAAACGTATAACCTCCAAAGGTCTTGTGTAAATCAGTTTTGCACTGTACTCTTTTAATGTCAGGAATTAGCAAAGCACTTGTTAGAACGAATCCACTTCGTGATGTACAGACATGGTGATACCTCTAAGCTAGATTTGACGATAGAAAGGAAATAAAACTTACATTTTTAAAAACTTTTTAGTGCAATTAAAGGAGGAAACTGGAGTCATGTTTTCTCTGTTCTCTCTCCCCCACCCCACCTCAAGATACTTCAAAAATACCGGGGAATAACCTGAACTTCAAAAACATGTTATGTCATATTTTCTGGAGGTATTCTTGTTTTAGAGAACCCAGTGACTAAATTCCTGCTAACAAAGGGAATATTGTTCTGCATTGCATCCACTGTCAGAGATGTAGAATGTAGCTTATCAACAGTTATCAATAGACAGACAGTGGTGCTGTGGAAGACATCAAGAATGGGGGCAACAGAACAGCACTGCCGGCCCCTTACCTACATTTTCTAAATTCTGTGTCCCAAAGGTGCCTAAAGACATTTATATTAAGACAGGGTGAGGGAGTGCCATTCGTTGCTTAGTCCGAATCTGTCATGTTTTTCCCAGCAACTTTCATAGCAGTTAAAGTTCAACCGTGTAGCTCTGTAGTTCGTAAGCATAGTCCTGAGATACCATCAAGAATAGAAATGCCACCGTGCTTTTAGTTCGGTCAAGTAAACAAGCTGAGCTGACTTCACCCTAAATTACTGGGCAGTACTATCTACTTGGTGATCAGATGATTGCCGCTAAATTCTCTGTGCAAAGCTTGTTCACCTTGGAGTCTATTAACCAAACTCCCTTTTCCTTTAGTCTTCTTTTTCTGAATGAATTCAGCAACAGTGAGAGTGTCCATGATTGTATTATCTCAGCATTATCAATACTTGAACTGATAGAAGGTATCAGGATTAAACTCCATGGAAAACCGAAAGCTGCCTAATGCATCACAATAAGCCGGTGATGGATAACTTTTGATAACCTAGAGCTGTGTTTAACATTTCTGGAGAGACTAATGGGAATAGTGTTTAGACAGGTCCCAGCATTTAGTCAATCATGATTGATCTCAAAATGTAAGGGCCATACTTGATTACTATTTTAATAGCCCTGTTGGCCAGTCTGGAAAATTGAAAAATATTCCTGAAAGAGGAAATAGAAAAGGACTTCTGTATTTTTGCCAAGAAAATTTACATTGATACATCTATAAAGTAATCAGAAATTGAGATTTATTTGATGGAATATGTCGCAAATCAAAAAACAACACTGCATTAAGGATAGGAACAGAATTTTTTCTAGTTATTTAATGGGAAATTATTTGCTTTTTAAATTATATTAACTCTACCTTAATTTTTATGAATTTCTTGCCTTCAAATGCTTTTTTAGTTTTCCAAAGGAAGCCCCTGGAAGCCATGAAGAAAGGATTATAGACCACATATTTTATTAGGGCTATAAATTGTCCCCAGAATTAAGCCATGGTTTGCTTAACAATATTTTCAGTAGGTCATGAGTGGCTTGGTTCATACAGTGTGCTCGGTTGTAAATAATGAGTTCAAACCCAGAGTAATTTAACCAATCTTTTTCATTGTAGACAATACTTAGATAAATGTACAATAGTTTTAAGATGGGTTTTTCATTATATTTAACCAGTATATTTTGTCTGGAATTCCCTTCATATATGGAATTGGTCTGGGCTAACGAATGACTTTGTTGACTTCTCAATTCTACCTAAAGATGCCAAGATTAGACCTGAAATCATTTTTCACGCAAAGATGAATCCTACAGGAACATATAATCTTTTCCCTCTGAGGAACTCATTACAGAAGTCATAGCGAAAGTCAATATTCTCAGAGTATCATCATTTCCCAAGATTAGATTATCAGCCAGAAGAAGCAGAGTCTTTTTCACAACAGTACAATTCTGGAATAATATGCTTGAGGACTCACATCATGTCATGGAGCTCTTAGCAGCATTTATTAACATTTGTAAAATCCATCTTTCACTTTTAAGGATTCTTCTGTTGTTTCCTGTTGTCATAAGAAGTTTTGGTTTTAAGATTATTGATAAGAGGAACATTATGCAATGACTTGTTTTGTTATTAAATTTTAGAACATGTTATGGGTCAGCACCAGAGTTCCTCCAAAATTTGTGCCCAGTTTGTACTGTTTAATGTGCCAGAAGGGGAAAGAGAGAGGGGTGTGTGTGTGTGTGTGTGTGTGTGTGTGTATAATATTTAAGTACTTAGATTTAGATTGTTATTTAGTTTTGGCACTGATTCTGCCCTCCTTTTAGAAATTGGCTGCCAATATATTATTCTAAAGGTATATTTGCCCTGTGTCACAGAAAGATTGCAACTGCTGATTTAGACATGGGCTCGTGTGTTAGTAGACAATATTTAATAAAATAACAGAGAACTATCCACAGAAATATATGAATATTTTCTAATGCAATAGTGAACAATTTCAAATGTTGTAATAATAAAACCTATGACATCAATTAGCTCAAGCTGGCCTGAATTTTCTAATTACTATTCAAGTGCTGTGAGGGAACGAATATTGTTTATTCAGTTGGTTTAAAAACCCCATGTACAGTTGATAATTTTGTAGGGTAGCAGGCACCTTCAGCAGGTTGATGATGGTGACTATTTTTGCAGTTTTGTTCCCCTTGGGAAAAATGAGTTTCAAGAAACTTGTGAAAGACAGAGGAGAAGCATTTCATATATTGATTCCTGTGGCTGAAACTTCCACTACTGTAATTTTATTGATTCCAACACTGCACTTGTCTAACAGGTATATTAACTGAGCTGAACAAACCATTTTGCCAGACTAGTTTCAATTATTGAAAGAACTGTAAATTAAGTAATAATGAAGTAAAGCAAGTTACACTGCTGTCTGTTTATATGGAAGAAAATGTCTCAAGGGGAGCTCCAAATGGAACTTTAAATATTAAATAGAGCTTTCAGGTCGTTCTTTGTGGGAAAATGTATCTGTGTAAACCTCTGTTTTTCAACCCTATCAGATTTTCATCACAGTGAATTGCCTGAGCACAGACTTCTCTTCTCAAAAAGGAGTCAAGGGCCTTCCTCTGATGATTCAGATTGACACATACAGTTACAATAATCGCAGCAATAAACCCATTCATCGGGCCTTCTGCCAAATCAAAGTTTTTTGTGACAAGGTAAGATAATGTATTTCTTAATGACGACATATGGGGAGAGTTTTTCTTTCTTTAGTAGATTATTTTATTTTTCTAGATTTTATTTTTATCATCATTTATGTCTATAAGTCATTTTCATTTTAGCTTTCTTTCAATTTCTTTCATTCTTTCTTTACTATTGAGTTTTTCAATGATAGTAGCAAGCGTGGAACTTATTTGGGCTAACATTTTATATTCCAGAATCCCCTAGAATCATGAGGACGAACCTGTGGCACGCGTGCCAGAAGTGGCATGCAGAGCCATATCTCTGCACATGCCAGCCATCACTCGTTCTTCTGGGTTCCAGCGCACACATGCGCGCCGGCCAGCTGGTCTTTGCGTGCGGGGGAATGCTGGAAACCAGAAGAGCAGCTCCCCGGGTCGTGCACGGAGGAGCACTGGAAACCGGAAGAGCAGCTGGTCTTTGCGCATATGCGCGGCAGAAACCAGAAGACCAGCTGGCCGGCACACATGTGTACACCAGAAACCAGAAGCTCAGCTTCCCGACACACGCATGCGCACTGGGGAGCTGCTCTTCTGGTTTCCGGTGCTCCCCCGTGCCCATACCCACGTTCCATTTCGGCACTCGGTGCCAAAAAGGTTTGCCAACACTGCCTTAGAAGTTCTGTCACTCACAATTCTGAGAGGCAAATGACAGCCTCTATGCAAAAATTGTTCTGCATTGATAACGGCACACTTTTCCTCGCACAATTTTATGTACAGTATTTATTATGGACTCAGTCCTGACTCCCGGTGACTGCAAGGACAAGTCCTTACTGTTTTCAGCAGTGATTTTAGAAATGGGTTGCCATTCCCTTCTTCCTAAGTCTGAGAGAAAATGACTGCCCCATGTGGTCCAGTTGGCTTTGTGCCTAGGGAAAGACTAAAACTCATGGTCTCTTAGTTTCTAGTCTGATGCCTTAAACAGTGCACCAATCTGGGTACCAATAACAGTTGAGAGCTTGAAATAAATAAATAAATAAATAAATAAATAATAAATAAATAAATAAATAAATAAATAAATAAATAAATAAATAAATAAATAAATATTTGGCTATAGATTTACAATTAAAATTAGCCTTTTTTGACCCACTGCTGGAAGTTCAATCTCCAAAACTCAGACCTTGGAGTTATAGGTCTGACTAATTTGGAGTACACCAAGTTAGAAGTTAGTCAAAGGAAGATATCTAGGATAGTCCTGGAGAATACAGGTAGTCCTTGACTTACGACCACAATTGGGAGTAGAACTTCCATTGCCAAGTGAAATGTCGTTAAGTGAATCATGCCCAATTTTTTTTAACCTTTCTTTGCCATGGTGAATCACTTGGTTCTTAAATGAATCATTCCATTGTTAAGCAAGTCTGGCTTCCCTCATTGACTTCGCTTGTTGGAAGCCAGCTGGGAAGGTTGCAAATGGCTATCATGTGACCTTATGATGATGCTGTAGCCATTGTAAATACATGCCAGTTGCCAAATTCCCATTTGATCATATGACCATAGGGACACTGTGGCAGTCATAAGCATGAGGAACGGTTGCAAGTCACTTTTTTTTACCACCAACCTACCTTCAAACAGACCTTAATGGAATGTTTGTTAAGTCAAGGACTAACTTAGAAGTAGGCATTTTATGAAAGCTATTTTAGAACTCCGCTGGCAGACAGCTGGGAAAGGATTCTAATCGTAAAACTAAAACTTCTGGAATAGGACATATAAAAATGGATTGATTTCTGATGATTAAAGCAAACTAGATGGAATGGGATGAAATCCAAGATAAAAGAATGGTAAAAAGTAGGCAAAGTAGGACAAGTTTCCAAGGAGATAGCTAAAACCAAGAGTCTGGTAGCACCTTTTAAGGCTAACATGTTTTGTTAAAAGGGATAAGTTTGACTCTGTTGCTAAGTAACTGTTGTCTTATTATGACCAGAGTCACTGGAACCATGTATGGAATTACACAAACTTTTGAGATGAGAACTTCATTCCATCTCATTCATATGTATAGGAAATCTAGTTCTGCAACAGTGTTGATTGTTCAGGTGTTAATACTAAAACATTTCTTATGAGCAATATATTATTTTAATACAAGCTTCCCAGTATGGCTCCTTCCAAATTCTTACTGAAGGTACTACTTATAAGAAGCTAGTTTAGTTTGTGCATTTTAAAAAATCCTACTGCATAGCTTAAAAAAAACCCTATCTACTTATCAGTTTAATAGAATTTTTGAATACTATTTTAATAATTTATTTCCTAAGGCTATTGGAAGTTTTGTATTCTAATGACATAACAGCATATTTTATGAAAGGTTGAAGATCTGCCTGATTTCTTTGCTCATTATATTTAGAGTAAATAAACAAAACTGCAGATACAAACTGAGTAATTTTTTATTACTAACTTATGAAAACTTAAACCATATGGTAGTGCTTTTTTACTTTCCATTTCTTTGGCAAAAAAGGTAAAATCAACTGGCAACAATAATTTCAGGACGCTGATATTTCAATTAAATCAGACATTTCCATTAAATTATTAATTATATTAAATAGCATTATATTCTGCTATTTCTTTCATGGAGCACTTAGAACGAATTGACATTTAAACAAGGAATAATACAATTAGCAAAAAGAAAAAAAAATACAGATTAACGAACCAGTGCAAAGTACATTGCAAATGAATAAACAGTTGACATTCTTAAATTTATTTTAGAAATAGTAAAGAGCCAATTTGGCATGACAGTTAAGTCATCAGGCTAGAAATTGGGAGATGGTGAGTTCTAGTCCTACTTTAGGCAGAAAGCCAGCTGAATGACCTTGGGCCACTCACTTCCTCTCAGGCCCAGGAAGGAGGAAATGGTAAGCCACTTCTGCAAAACCTTGCCAAGAGAACCACAGGGCCTCCAGACACAACTGAATGGAAGGGGAATAATGGTAACAAGGAAATCAGATGGCTCTTAGGTGGTTCTTCAGAGGTGGTATTCAGCAGGTTCTGACCAGTTCTGGAGAACCGGTAGCAGAAATTTTGAGTAGTTCGGAGAACTGGCAAATACCACCTCTGACTGTCCCCGCCCCCATCTATTCTCTGCCTCCTAAGTCCCAGCTGATTGGCTGGGTCTTCTTTTGTTGCCTTGCACAAGAGAACGGAGCTGGAAAGCAGGTTAGTGGGGTTGGGAGAGAATGGGGATTTTGCATAACCTTCCCCCAGGAGTAGGGAATGGAGATTTTGCAGTATCCTTCCCCTGCCACACCCACCAAGCCACGCCCACCAAACCACGCCAACAGAACCGGTAGTAAAAAAAATTTGAATCACACCACTGACCCATACCCACACACCTGGAGGGAGGGAGGGAGGGAGGGAGAGGGAGAGAGAGAGAGATTTGTGCAAATGAAGACATAGGTACTACAATTAAAAGAGAAATACAACTAATTTCACCAATGGTGGGAAAGACTGGGATCGATCTATGAGTGTGAACCTGCTCGCTCTCCTGTCTACATGTTGTGCACTAGGGTGTGACTTTAAATCCTCTGTTCTCTCCTTTTTAATAGAGTTTGTTTTTAAACTAAGCTTGGATTGGGCAGCCTTTCAAAAGTAGGATACCTTGAAATAGCGGACTATCCTTTCAGAGTAAGATAGTTCCCTGCAAAGCAGGACATCACTTGGTCTCCACCAGAGGAATGCTTGTTCATATATTTCTTTATTAGACAATATTGTATCCATTATAATCCCAAGACTCTTGGCACTCTTGGGGGGAAGTTTTTTTGATAGCCAAGCTGTTATGAAAAGGCCTGTTGGGATACAATTGGACATTGCATCCCAGTCCAGCAATTTTACTCTGCCCACAAAGGAGAAAAAAATAATAATAGCTGAGATCTGGTTGCTAAGCAATGAGAACTCATAAGATGCACTAGCTGATGGGGTGGGGAAGAAGGCATGACAGAGTGGTAGAGCAATAAAAGGCGATCCAAGCTACCCCATTAACTCATGCTTCACAACGTCTATGTACTTTGCTTCTGGATTGTCCAACAAATAGAGTTGCAATGCAATGTCACAATAAATCCCTTTTTTTATATAAAAAGTGGGTGGGGTTGTTGCAACAAATGATTCCTAAGCATTGTGTTTTAAAGTCTGCTTTTTAATGTCAAATACTTGCAGAGGTTTAAGGATACAGCTGCCTGGTAAAAGCTCAGTAAATACCAAAGGAGTTAAGACAGTCTTATTCTGACTCTTCTTCCGCTTTCTGGTTTTTTTTAAAAAAAAGGAAGAAGGGGTAAGGAGGGGGGGGGAAAGAGCTTAAGAGACTAAGACTCATCAAAGGTGACCTATAGATGACAAGAAGTAGAGCCTTTGAATTATACATATTTATCACTTTGACTATCCTGTTTAATTGATACTTCAGATTTCATGGTTGGTAAGCAGGAAATGAGTGTTGACAGATCTAATCAAAGCCCTTTTAAAAGTGAGAGAAAAGAGCACACGGGTAGTTAAAATGTTACTCTTATCAAACCTGGGTAGCTCAGGAGGCTTAAAATAGGATGTGTGATCACTCAAACTGAAGCTTGCCCCAGGCTGCAGATTGCCAGAAATTGGGAAAGCTTAGATTCTTTGTTACATTAGTTACAAAAAACTTCTCTAGGCCTCTGGATTCTGAAGTTAGTTTATTTTATCCTTCTCAAACTGGATCTCGTCAAGATGTGTTGAAGTTCTCTTCAGTCGTGGTTTGGAATTCTAATCCTATTGCATCTGGGGAGGACTAGGTTGGAGAAGGTAGATTTATTTTTCTATGCCCTACATTCCCAGTAATGATCAGTGGAACCATTAATGTCTCTGGGAATGTGGTCCTAAGATAACCATTTATAGCCAAGAACTTCAAACTGCAGTCCCTGGACTGCAGGCAACCCTACTCAAACATTCTTTGAAAACAAGGAGTAATGAACACATTAAAAAAAAAACCCAACTTGTTCACGAATGGTTTGTGCATTTCAGGGGCTCAGAAT